AGAAGAGGCACAGGCAAGTATGGCTACTGGCATTTTCTCACATGCAGGAAGAGAAGAGCTTTGTGTGTTTGAGAGATTAGAATCAGGTAGGGTAAGGTAACTTCAAGTCAGTCATGAGAATTCATTTATGAAGCTATAGTACAGGAAAGGATATAGACTAACACTGGGGTATACAAAAACAAGCAGAAAATGAAAGTGACTCAGCAATAGACTACAGTTCAATATGTGAGTGAACATCATGAACAAGGTGTTGATGAGAAATCCGGTTCTGCAGTCCTTATGGATGCACCACTGAGGGAAATCTAATAGCTTTGGGGACAGACATGGGTTTTAGCCCAAGTTCTACTTATACAGCCATACCATTGTGGACAAATCCTTTTAGCTTCCACATCCTTGAAGTTCTCATCTATAAAGCGAGTTTGCATTGCTGCAAAACTCGTCAGTATTCATGAAAATATCTTGAGCAAAATTTATGTATTATTATTCCAACACTTTTTTGTATGGAACGTGCAAACATTTATTTACTGGTTTCTGTGGTATATGAGTTAGTAAGGAAATGACCAATATAATAAAATAAAGATGGTGAATGAAATTTGAGCAAAGAAAAACTTAGAAACTAAACATCACTGATATTTCTAAACAATCTTTTTAGAAATCTTCCTAGTAAGGCTCATGGTGGCATGATTCATGATGCATGGTATGCATCTAAAGGATGTCTAGGAGAGATGGGTGATCAGTGAACTTCAGAGACCATGCATAAAGCCAGAGGATATTTATTATCTTTAAATAAAAAAATACAGTTTCAATAAATATAATTATATTGAAAACAAACCTATTCTGGATCACAGAAGGGGCTATATAGTATGTTAATAAAACACAATGATGTGCCTTTGTATCTTCTCATGGAGTATGAGAAAAGAAACAAATGGTACTGTGTGAACTCACCTTAACATGAACCCCTTATTATACTTGTGCTAAAGAATGGGTTTTGAGACAACATATGACGAATGGGAATGAAATTGCATGAGAGAATGAAAAACAGTGATGAGGGTATTCTGTAATGTGGATCTTCTCCAAATCCCTATTCTCTAGCCTTTTTTCAGGTCCACGTCAGCTCTCAGATTCTTGCAACACCCTCTTAACTGACTCTATGTCCAGTCTTCTACCTTTTCAACCATTCACAATTGCTGTGAGAGTGATCTTTGCAAACCAAATTCTGAACATTTTACTGGCATGCTTAAAAACCTTTTTTGATGGTTACCCACCATCTATTGTAAGAGTCAGCAAACTTTTTCTTAAAGGACTGAATAGTACATATTTTAGGCTTTGTAGGACATAAGCAGTCTTTGTACAATATTCTCTTTGCCATTACCCACCCCCCCGCAACCTCTACCCTTAAACACCCTGTAGCATTTTGGAAACTTTTCTTAGCTCATAGAATATTTAAGCCAAAGGCTGTATTTGACCTTTCAGGCTCTAGTTTGTTGACCTATGGAATAAATGAAATGCAAATCTTTTTAATATACCATAGCAGTTTCCCCATACTTTGGCCCACTGATTTTTTTTTCTCAAGTCTTGTATATTTTGCCAAAAACACTTCCCACACTCTCTCCTGCAGTTATATTGAATTGTTGGCAGTATCTGGAAGTATACCAAGCTGGGTTTTTATACCTCTGTATTTGTTCACATAGTGTCCATTAAAATTTCCTCCCTATGCACCTGGCAAAATCTCAAGACTCTACTATAAATGTCATTTCTTCTATTAAATATTTATTGATTGGCCCAGTTTTATCAGTCTCTGCACCTTATATAAATGTGAATCACAGTATCTGTAATGCTTTACTGTGCTTATTTTTTTCCCCAACTCCAATGTAAGCCTCTCAAAGGCGAAAAATGGGGCCAATCCCATGGTCTGGTGGTTAAGGGAGCCAGATCCCACATGGCTAACCATGGCTTGAATCCTGGGCTTAGAGACTTGGAAAAACACGCTTGGTGCATGTTCATGTGTGCCAACAGCATGGAGAAATGGAGGAGAAAGGATTGTGGCATGGCCTCGCCGCATTTATGGATGCTGTTTCTCTTTTCCTCTCTCTATCTCTCTCTGATGAGTGCTTATACCCTCAAAACAGAAACAAAAACTAAAAACAACTCTCAAGGCAGAAAATATCTTACTTGGATTTGCATCACTGACATACAGTAGCCACTTAGTAAATATTTGTGGAATGAGTGGCCCAGGTATAGTGTTATTAAGTCTTACAACGTCAGTGCCAGAAAAAGCATTACAAAAAAGGAAGGGAGGAAGCAACATTTCTCTGAATTATGAGCCACCCATACTCAGAAGCACGTTATTATTTTTGTAGCCTCTAGAGAAACTCTCCAAGTCCTCTCTGATACCTTGTTACGAGGCTTCCTCATATACCCACTAGGGAATGAGGGAGGGAGTTCGTTGGCAGTGAGCCTCATGAGAGGTTTTATCTTTCTTTTTTCTTTTTTCTTAAGCAGCAATCCCATCTAACAGTGCCTGTGTTTTTAGGACTCTAAATAAGGACTCAAAACCTATTTTCTAATAAACATACTTTAAAAAGCGATCCTAGAACTTTTAGTATTATTAGTGATAGAATGGTGAGCTAAATAGGTGTTGGTGAGCTGCCCTTGGAATGTAGCCATCCTATCTCAGTAGGGAAAACGTGCTCTGAGTTCCAAGCAGATGACTTATGAGTTAGCTTTTGGACATAACTCATTCCTAAGTTTGGGGCTGTCTCTACTTAAAATATATCAAGCATAGGTCAGATGAACTGGAATAGGAGTCAACCAGATTAAGAGCAAAGCCATAAAAATGAAAGTCAAAGGGAAATATGATATTGCTATGTTTCTAAAATTAGAGAATGGGTTAGTGAGGTACACTCTGGAGGAGAAGATGTGTAAAGGAAATAGATTTTAGAAAACAAAGGACAAGAGTATTTGGAAACTTTTAGAAAATAACAATGACACCTACATTTATTGAATGCTTATTAGTTGCAAGAAACTGTCCTAAGCACTGTATATGGACTGTCAATTTAATCATTTCAACAACACTACCAGAAGGATACTATTATTATCTTTATTTTGTGGATGGGGAAAGTGATACACAGAGCAGTTTAAGTAATTTGCTGAGCTGTCATAGCTAATAACTATGGAGTTTTCTGATTTCATTGCTTATAATACAAGTAGCTTCTGATTATACTCATATATGGTACCACTAAAAATGTGCTGTGTGGAACAATGGTTGACTTATTCCTGCACCCTTTTAATATCTAGGAAAATTGATTTGGAAAAAAATCTACAATGAAGGAGTGTCATGCTGGATCAATGGTAAAAGGCTTATGGCAGAGATCATTTGTAGGAGTTTTTATTTTATTGTTTTGGACCCAGAAAGAATTAACTTTCAGAAATAAAGTGATGAAAAAGACCAAGAATAAAAAATGTTGTGACCAGAGAGCCATATACTCAAGATTGCGAGACACAAGTTTTAAAAGCAAGCTGGCAGGTGGCATGGTGGTTGGGGTGCCAGACTCTCACATGGCTGACTGCTGTTTGAGTCCTGGACCTGGCAGCTTGTTTTCTTACTTTCCCTCTCTCTCTTGCTCTCTGTTTCTGGTCAAATTAAAAAAAAGAAAACATATTTTTCTTTAAATAATTATTTATATTTTTCCTAACAAAAATATCTGAGAAACTCAGAAACATAACATACCAAAGGTTTGGGGATGCTACAGACATTTTTGCATAAACTGTTATTTAACTTTTTAATAGGCTTCTTAAAAAAACATATGAAAAACACCAAAATCAATACTGCTTCACACATAATGGAACAACAACAACAACAACAACAACAACAAAAACACAAAAGAGTGAAATGAACATGTATGACTGAACTAATATACTGTGTATTCACAATGGGAAAACTTATTTGGTATACTGTAATGATACACAGTGTTAGAATAAAAAATAAATAAATATAAAATAAAAAAAGCAGGACATATCACTTTTTGAATGTTCTATAGCAGAAGAATTCATTCTGGAGTCAGTTGATCAAAGTTAAAATGAGAAAAAGAATCAACAAGTTAATAAATGTTATTAGCAAGTTAGGATGAGAAAAAAGTCAAGAGAATAAATGTCAGCTGCCAACAATAGAAAGTGCACATGGTAGCTTATTAAATGGGAAAAAGCAGAAAAATAATCACAATCTTGGCCATGAAGACTCTTGGGAAGAGCAGAATGCTAAGCTCATAAATGTGTATGAGAAGTGGGAGTTGAAATGGCCAGAGGGTCGCTGAGACACATCATGGAAGAGAAGGGAGAGAAATGGAAGAAGACAAAAGAATAACAATTTAATTTTAAATATTTTTATAAGAAAGTGATATGATGGAAATTTAATATTTGTAGAAACAATGTTTATTGAGAAAAGATGTATTAATATTTATAATATGTAAATACTTTAAAATAAGAAATTACAAGTATAAACTAGAATAATTTATTCAAAAAAACTTATTAAAAGATAAAATGCTTTACATACTACAGATACTGCTTGCCATGAGATGTTGTCACTAAATGTGAGAATAAAGGAGACATTTGTCCACTAGGTCCAAACTGGGGCTGATGCCAATAAATGTAATATGACAAGCAAATGTTGTACCACGATTTCGTAACCACAGTCTTGTACATGAATTTTACCCACCTTGTGTTGCAAGAACAAAGAAGATGTTCTGTTGCAAAAACCCTTGTAGTTTATACCACAGAAGAGAAGCTCTTCCCTATGGGCTACTTGTGGCTGTCGCTCCCACCTTCACGCACCTACTACTGTTACTCTCTTTGTGAATAGTAAGCTTATTAATGAGAGCCTAGCAGTAACCAATGAGTAGTATGTTCACTCTTTTTGTTTTTGTTATTTGTTTTTTAAAATATAAACAGAAATAATGGATCACTGTTCTTCTTGCACATTGGAGAAGTGTTAAAGAGAACCATTAGGATTTTTCATTTCCTTTGGCTAACTTTCTCAGTGCATCTTTAATGTCCTTATTTCTCAGAGTATAAATGAGGGGATTTAACATGGGAGTAACTGCTCCATATAATATTGAGAGGAATTTGTCCTCTTCCTGAGATTCCTTTGACTGAGGCTTCAAGTACATGTAGATGGCTGTCCCATAAAATATGGTGACCACAGTTAGGTGGGAGCCACAGGTGGAGAAAGCTTTGAGCCTGGCTTCTGCAGAACGGATCTTCAGCACAGCAACCACAATGCGCAAATAGGAAATGAGGATGAAGGTGAAGGGCAAGGGCAGTGTGAACACACTGATAACCAGACCCAGAATCAGACTCACAGGGGTGTCAGAGCAGACAAGCTTCAACAGGGCCTGGACCTCACAGGTGAAATGGTTTATAACGTTGTGTCCACAATATCGAGCAGGAATTGCAATAATTGGTGTGACTGCTACTAAGAAGGCACAGGTCCAGGTTCCCAAGGCCAACTGCATGCAGACCCGACTGTTCATGATGATAACATAACGTAGGGGATTGGAGATCGCAACAAACCTGTCATAAGCCATGACAGCAAGGAGAAGACACTCTGTCATCCCCAGAAAGAGGGATATGGTCATCTGTGCATAACAGCTGGTATAAGAGATGGTGGGGAAGTCCCTGAAGCATTGGGCCAAAACATACGGCTCCCAGCTGGTGGGATAACAGATATCAAGGAAGGATAAATTACTGAGAAAAAAATACATGGGAGTATGAAGTTGAGAATCCCATCGCACAACAACAACAATAAGGCTGTTTCCAAGCATTGTGACCAGGTAGGAAAATAGCAGTCCCAGGAAGAAGGCAGCCTGGATTTGAGGGTGGTGGGAAAATCCAACAAGGATAAATTCAGTCACCTCAGAGGCATTGTCTCTCTTTAGATTTCCCATTTACTCGTCACAAGTGCTGGCAAAGGAGATAAAATTTAATGTTGTTTACATGAGAATATAAGATATATAAGAGAATATATCATCTAAACAGTCTGTTATAGTTCATGTTCTGTAGCTTTGATGAATTATCATGTGTCATTTGTTTACCAGGTTAGTCTTAACTCTTTAAATATCCAATGGTGGAAATTTATGTTTTCTTTGTTTTTCTATCTTATTTAAACTCATATTATATGACTAAGAAAGACTGATGAATGGGACCAGCAGTTAGCGTAATTGCTATGTCATTGGACTCCCATGTAGTTGACTGTGGTTCGATTCCCGGACCTGGTGGCTTAAACTCACACCGGGCGTATGTGCGTGTGTGCCCAAGATCCTGAGAGGAGAATGGAGATGGGATTGCGGCATGGCCATCCTCCCTGGGAGGTGATTTCTCGCTTTCTATCTCTCTGTCTTTCTGGCGAGCACACGAAAAAAAAAAAAAAAAAGAAAGAAAGAAAGAAAAAGAAAGAAAGAAAGAAAGAAAGAAAGAAAGAAAGAAAGAAAGAAAGAAAGACTGGTGAATTTTCTTGGACTATTTTGAACCCAAATAGGGGTACTTATATCTGATTAAGACAATCAGTTCCACTGAATCAAACATAGTTATTACTCTCATAAAGAGACATAGCTAAACAATTGACACCACCCTTGACCAAGGAAAGTGAGACTAATGTTCTATATCTCCCTACAAAAAAATTTGCTTGCCAACTATATCTAAGTTTATTCAACATTTTTTTTTTTGGAGAGATTACTGCTATAGGGCTTGTGCACTTGCCAGAGAGACAGAAAATGAGAAATCATTCCCTGGTGGGTAGCCACACCACAATCCCTTCTCCATTCTCCTCTTGGGATTTTGGGCACATGTGCTCACATGCCCAACGTGTTTCAAGCTGCTGAGTCTGGGACTTGAACCACAGTTGACCACATGAGAGTCCAACGCCTTAACCACTATGCAATCTGCTGGCTTCCATTCAGTAATTTTTATAAAATCTTAAAATTTAAACTCAGTGAAGGATCCAGCTGCAAATGTTTGAAACACTTCTTTACTTTTCAATCTTTTTGTTGCTGTTTTTCTTATATGTCATATTAGCACCATCTACGGATGGTAAATGAGAAAGTGCATATGTAGCTAAAGCAATCAGTCAGTGCGATGGAAAAATAATACCAGCCAAACTGAAATGTAATAAACCAAGAAACTGATGGATTTACATAAATCTCACTCTTTGTTCAATTATTCTGATAGCTCTCTTCAATTGACAGAGGCTTAATATATGTAGATTCCATCACCTTCCTGTGATTTCAAACAAAAGTTTAATGTGTGATGGGAAAATCTTACTAGATAAAAGGATTTTATGAATATGACATGTACCAGAAATTATGAAGCTGGATAAGGCAAAATTTGAATGCATATTTCCAGAGTGTTAAAAAATAAAAGTTTTGTGTGATTTTTGTAGGGAATGAAAAAGATGACCGGTTTAAGCTTTTTTTGTTTGTTTGTCTTGTTTTAGTTTTAGTTTTTTTGGCTTTAGGATTTTCTTATTTAGGCACAGCATAAATCTCTCCACACTGTAGTTTATTAATGCTGTATATAATTGAATAATTTTTATACCCAAGCAGTAGAATGTTGAAATATAGAAAGAAAGCAAGGGAATCAGCTGGATCTAAGCATAAACTCTAGTTCAACCATCAGTAAACAACACAATCTTGAGACAGTGTGTTTCCTTATAAGTGAAATGGCAATATCACCTAACCTCTTGCAGGACTATATTTCAATCAAGAGCCTAGCACAGTGCTTGGCACATTTATAACCATTCAAGTTACTGTAACACCCTTCCTTCTTTCATGCTCCACGTAGATCGTCCCTTTAGCTTGGACTTCATCCTTGTAAAAATGTTCCAAAATGTCATTCCATTCTACCTTTCCTTATGAGGTTATCATATTACCAGAAACAATACAATCTAAAGTTTTGGGTTTGAGTAAGAACTAAAGAAAGTTTGACTGTGTAAGTCATTAAAATTTGTTCCTGATGGTAGGCGGGAAAGACACATAAAGAGATGAAAATTACTCACTGACTTAGGGCTGGAGGACAGCAACAGAGAAGCACACCTCATTCATAACAGAAGCATTTTGCAGTTGGCAACACCCCCACAAATGACTAATCTCCAAGAAGAAATTTGATTCCTTCAACTGCAAGGGAAAAAAGTTTAATACAAGCAGCTGTGGTAATAAATCTTTCTATCAGTTGTGGTTATAAGGCTGGAAAATCTTGAGTTAACTATGCTGGTGAATCATACACATTGATTTCTACTTGTTTAAAAATCTTTTTCTTTTATTTATACAGAAGTGGCTTCTAATAAGGCTACTATAAAAGGCTGGTGTCCAAAAAACAATAAAAAATTCATTTTCTAGCATACATAATAATATAGATGCCAGTTCACGACATGTAGTTTTTTTTCCCTGTACAAATATTAAAATGATATTTCTTCTTATAGCGTCCCAAACTCTGTTACTTTGTTCTCAGCCACAGAAAAATAAATTGAGATGTCCTTTTCTGAATGCATAGATACTTTAAAAATAGTGGTGTTTGCCAAAGTATAGGCTAATTACAGACCAAAGATATTTAAGTAGCATTAAAAGAAGCCACAATTCAAAATCAAGAAGGAGCTTTGATTATCTGGATAATCTTATGGTGGTTTAAGAATTGATAGCCTCAGTATTGGAGAAAAGTTTCTACTTTGGGCCTTATGGGATGTCCCTGCTTTGCAATTAAGTCTCCCAATACAAACAGGGAAATAGAAAGCAAAGGAGGAGGAGGAGACATCTGATATATTTAGCTCATTAAAATAAAGTTTATTTTCCCCTTTAACTTGGTTAATGAGAATTTCAGTGTATCTTCCTTTTGCAATGACTCTGGTAGGTGAACATGGTGGTGATGAGGAAACAGGGCTGGTTTTCTTCAAAGACAGACTTTATTCTGTCCAAGTAGTTCTTTATTCATCCACTGTTTTATTTTATTTCATTTTTTATTTTATTTTAGCAAATTAAATGTTCAAGTAGTGCTACAAATAATTCATATAGAGGAATTTTGGAGGACAAAATGTACATCATATTAGGATTGTGTAACAACTTTTTTGTCTGCTAGGTCCTCTGAATGATATACTATGTTGATCAATCAAGTTCTCACTCAAGTTTGATTGTAAGTTCAATAGAGATTAAATGATGTTTCATTTTAAAACATTTTCTAAAGTTTATTTATTTTTTCTCAAGAGAGAAGGGGGAGGTAGGGAGAGGTACCACAGCACTCCCAACAGAGTCCTGACACACTGGTTCACCTCCAGCGCTCAGTCAGCCCCAGATCGCAGGAAAGGTAGTGCCCTAGCTGCTGCACCACTGTTTAGCCTTGAAGTTTGGTTTATTTCTTTAGCATGAGGGACTTTAGACCCCATATAACGGAAGTAGAGCTGAGTATACTCTTTGGGACTGTAAGTCCTAAATTTTACCACCAAATCTGAGTCATCTTTGTTTTCTCTAGCACTCTACCTTACACAAGAGAAACTGAGATGTTTGCTGAAATAAAAGCCGTTAATGTTACTTTAACTAAATGGATTCTTTTCAGGTAATTTTATGCTGTGTTTAATCATACCTTCTGTTTTTGGCTATCTGACCCTGAATAACTTTTTCTCCCCTGAAATATATAATCTTTAGTATCTTGGTACAGAAATGTGTTGAGTAAGAGAGCAGTGCTCTATTGAAAGACAAAAAAAGAGGGGAACTTCCAGCCAGATAGTCACATCACATTGGACTTGTGTTGGGTCACTCCTTCTATCTGTCCACAGTGGGTTGGTGGCAAGTTTTCCTTTTATGATACTATCCTAGGGACCTGCTCATCCCATATGTTAAAAATATATTAAACTCCATGGGAACCCACAGAATGCGAAAGTGAGTAAGAAGGCGAAGGTTTGTAGGAGAATACAAATTGGGAGAAATTGCAGTGCCATCAAGGAAATATTTTATGGAGGACATGGTTGATGCTTCCCTAATGAAGGTTACAGAACTGGCATAGAAGCAAGCTACAGGAAGGGAAGACTTCAGCTGTCCAGGCGTCTGGTGGCAGCCTCATTCTGCTAAAAGTGAGGCATCTGATAAACTTGGGATTTGTTGACAATATCATTTCTCAGAAGGTTAAAGAAACTTTGAGGAGAAATGAGGCTATAAGTATAATCATGACAGAATGAATCAGAATCCTTAGAGGAAGTACCACATCATCTTAGAGTTCATAACAGAAAAAAACACCTCAGTCAACATTTCTAAAGAGAAGTGGCTGGGAGGCCATCGATAATTTTCTCTGAATCCTTTAATTTGAAATTTCTCAAAGTCTCTGATGATAATTTGACCAGGGCCAGAGAGTTTCAAGAAACTTCAACTTCAACTTAAAGTACAAATAGACTGTTTTTATCCACTTCAAAAGCACAGCACAGAGAAATTTCTCAAAGTCTCTTATGATAATTTGTCCAGGGCCAGAGAGTTTCAAGAAACTTCAACTTCAACTTAAAGTACAAATAGACTGTTTTTTTGCCACTTCAAAAGCACAGCACAGAGCATGCAAATAGCCCATATACAGCTCTCCTGGGTATAGATGGTACTCCCATAGCCATCTCACCAGTCCCAGTTGATAGCAGCTTTACTCCCTTGAAATTAAAGTATAACTAGACCCATCCCTGTAGAATATTGACTTGTGCAACCTAATATGAAAGTTGATCAGGCATCTGAATTTCACTTATTCCATGATACTTTTCTCAGGGCTCTTTGGCATGTATATGGGACTATTTAGTTTATATTTCATGGTCATGCAGAATAATTTGTTCATTCATTTCTCCATTTACTAAATATTGAGATTTCACTATGAACAATTTGGTTCTTGTTTCTGAGGATATGACAATGAAAGGGAAAAAAACCAAGACTTC